AAGCTTCCTTTTTAAGTATCAAAATTGGTGGTTGGATGCCTTCAGAACCATGAAGACATGAACTATAGGAGCAAAATAGGAAGCTGTACGCCCACAGGCCACGCCAAGCTCTGCTGAACCCTGGCCGCTCTGTAGCAACTGCACCTGCTTTCTGCGCGTTCTCAAGATTTACTTCACAGTCTTGAGCATTAGAGGGTGCCTCTCTTTTTAAGAAGAGGATGTTCAGTTCCATCTATCCGACTGTGCTTGTGTGGAAGTGCCCAAGCAGATGCATTCCTAGCTTAACGAGTATATCTTGGATATATATGAACTTAAAAGCCGTTTTTAATTAAATCCTCGCCTTGATTATGCAAAACAGCAACACTCATGTTTGCCCATGTGCTCTGTTGAAATTTATGAGTTGAAACAAGTATTGGGAACATGCTGCACAAGTACCTTTGAGAAGACCAGTGTCCTTTCTTAACAAATCTGCCTGAAAACCCCAGTTTCTGCCTCAGAAGCAAAATGAAATGTCAAGGGAAATGCATTTTACTTTACTCTTCCTTTGTAGTAATTATTAAAGTTGAAGACATGCATAGAATACAGCACTTAGGAATACATGTGTGTAATGCATAACAGATGGGATTTTTTGTGCAAGCAAATAGGGTCTTTCCTGGATTTTAATGAGTGTTACAGAAGGCTTTTGTTAATATATAATGCCAAACATTCTTCCCTAGAATGCTGGTGAGCAAAAAAGCCCCCCCCCCGCTTGAATTAAACTGTTAAATCCGAAATTCTTGACATTGTACAAATGCAGTGTGTCAGATTACTCAAGATAAGACAGTAAAGGTTTTTTTTTTCTTTTTGCTCCAAGCAGAGATTCTTTACTCTTGGGAAAACTGACTCTTTAAATCTCGTTTCTCTTGATGTTTTTGTAATAAATGTCTAGATGTCATAAGAGGGTTCCTGTATAAACTGTCCTGAGGTTAAAAAAAGCTTTGTATATGTCTCTTCTACGGGATGTCAGTAACACAGCTGGAGAAAATGCGAACCTTGAAAGAGCATAAAAGGCTGGTGCTGTCAGTCTCCGGTATTGCTTCTCCCAAAGTTGATTCTTTGCAAATAAAAAGGCAAAAAGGAATTAGCTAACTCATGCTGCTGTTAAATATTGGGGACCTGCAAAAAATGTTTGTTTATATTTTGGAATAATATCAGTACAAAGCAAGATTTGAAAGCATAATGCTTGGAATTGATCTCTGGAGGCAAGAAAAGCAGGTTTCTGCTCATTGTTCAGATGAGCTGCTCCTGCTGTCAAAAGAGGAGAGTGCGTCTTGTTTGAATGCAGGCGAGCGAGCAGTGCTTGTGGGTAGCAAAGAACCGCTCTTGGCTCGTGACAAGCACCTGCATAAGGTGGTCAGTTGAGTAGTCCTAAGGTGCCTGTATTTCATGCAAAACTTTCAGCCAGGATGAACCGTTGAAATCCTCCCCTGGGTGCGGAATAATTTTCCGGATGGCTCATTTGGAGTGCAGAGTGCTTGGAGCCTAGTTGTATGATGGGACGCAGGTTGTTTTCTAAAACTTACTTGGGGAAATGTGAACCGGAGCAGCACTGCACCAACGTTTGGAGCAGGCCGACTACTTTGGGGAACATTTTCCAGCCCAAGGGCCAGACTGACTCCAGGCACGCATTTCAAAGGACGTGTGCCCACTGTGGGAGGGGCTGCCCCACTGCTGGCATGGGCTTTCGGGCCCCAGGGAGGCCTCCTGCGGGCTGGAGAGTCTCCATTTCTGGCCTGAAGGATTCAGGTCTTCTCCAAGGCGTGTAGCTGTTGGACTGATTCCTGCAGCAGAGCTTCAGTCATCCCAAGGCAGACTCGCGTGGGAGAAGTCAAGCAGGAAAGAGTTTGCTCTCCTGGCGGGGAGCCCCTTCCCCACTCTTAGCTGCTAGGGTTGGTTCATGGGCAGCATTCAGTAAATGTTCTGGGCCACATAATTAGGACTCATACTTTATGCAGATTGAAGAACTCCGCATGTTTTTGAAATGCTCGCTTTTGCATAATTCTGGCAAGACGGGGGTTTTTCTAAAGCATGTTTTAAAAAAATCAATAGAGCAACTTCTTTCTCATTCCAAAAATAATTGTTTTTGTTAATAATTGTTACAACTAGATTTCATCGCAGGCATGTTAAGCCTATATTTACACTTTCCTAAAGAGTCAAACATAGGGATTAATTTCAGTGTTTCTTTTTAGGAAAATGGCTGTACCCAGCTAACTACCAGCGCTTAGGTGGGTTCATATGACCATCATTCTTCCATTGCCTGCCCTGCCTGTTTCGGGAACCCAAGGCAGCTTCCATCCCTCCATTGTATCCTGGCCCAAAGTCACCCAGGGAGCTTCTTGGCCAAGTAGAGACTTGGAAGCCGGACGTTCCCAGTCTTCACTCCAGCGCTCTCACCACAACGCCACTCCAGCTCTCTCACGATGGAAGAATAAGCCACAGTGGCTTCTCTACCATCCCCGTGCAGCCTGTGGCAAACAGCCTAATTAGCACAATGGTCCTCGCCATGAGCAGGTTGCTGTCATGTCTGAACCTGGCAAGAGTTGTTGAGAAACGGCTCTGAAACTGGTGGCTTGCTCTTCAGCTTCTGGGGGGTTGCAAGCCACCTCAGCCACCTGTCCCTGCCAGGCTCAGTATCCCAGCAGCCCTCACCCAGCAAGGGTGATTATGTTGATTAGGTAGCGCACAAGCAGCTCGTATGGAGAGAGAGCAGAACCTGCCGCATCTTGGCTTCCCCTCATGAGCATCAGCCGCTTTGCTTCTTGGAAGTTTGAGACTTTCTGTTTTGCAGGCTTGAGTCACATGAGCAAAGAAACAGGTTGGGTAGGATTGTTGTTCGGTGCTGGCGGAGCAAGGCCAGGCGAGACGGAGGAGTTGCATGAGCACAGGCACACGAGAAGCATCCCCTGAAACGACCACATTCCAAGATGCTGCTAATGGTTTATTTGCAATGCAGTGTGTTTCAACTAGGAAGCATTCTGAGGCACTGTGTGTGTGTTGGTTTTCTCTTAAATCATGGTGTAAATTAATTAATTAACCCTCATTGGTTTGAAATGCTTTACTTGCATTTCATTTGAAAGGCTACTCAGGGAATAGGGACTTTTTCTGCGCTCTCCATGTCCATGAACGACCGGCTGGGCATGCCAAGTCTGAGCCTCAGGAGTACGAGCTGTTTAGGGACTAAATAATTCACATTTGACCGCTAAACAAATCATAGGTTTTCTGGCTTGTTCACCCCGTAGCAAGTGAGCATGTGCGGGTTCAGACATGGCCATTCACAAATGGGTAGTCACAGGTTATGGGGAAAGCAGAAGTGAGGAGTATGCATTATCAGCAAAAATTAATTTTCTTTTGTGGAATTGCAGGATACATGCAGCTCTGATTGTGAGCTATACTAAGGTTTGAATATGTGCATTATTTAAAAAAATAATAATATAGGGCATGCCATTCCGATACTTTGGTCAGTATCCTAGTGTGCAGGGAGCATAATACTGTGTATGCGGCTTTATGGCAAATGTGCGATGTTAAGACATTGATGTTTAGCTCCTGAATGTTGTTTTAATGCTTTTACACATACATGTGTCTTTGGTGTTACCTTTATAGACAGTGAATTTTAATGTCTTGGAATGTTTTGGGCATCATGAAGCAAAAACTATGGAATTTGTTGAACGCTAGAACATTTGGCATGCAAAGATGAATGAAGAGCAATTGCATTTTTTTATCTTTCTTTTAGGATTGTTCTGTTTGCAAAAGATGGAATTATGCATTGACATGCAAATTAAGCAGATTTGAGGGTGATTTTCTGCGTTGATTTCTGCCAGAAAAGTAGGATAGGGTTCTACATTTTTATGTATAGCTGTTAAAATAAACCCTACTCAGGGCAGGTTGTACTGCAGAATTTATAACTATATCATAAAACCCACAGTTTATATTTTAAAAGTTCTTCATTATGCTTTTCCAAACCCTAAGTGAGATGGAAGCTAACCTGATTTTTTTATGGCCAGTTCATGTATGTTCATCTCATGGTTTGTCTACTATGTATGAAATGATTAGCAGCTGAATATGTGAACTGACTCCACTGAAAAAAGCATTGTTTCTATGGTGATAAGATTTTTTTGTCGGTGATGGCCCATTCCCACATTCAAGTTGTCACTGGCTACCGTCAAGTGATGAAAGGGGCATTGGCGAGGAAGTGCTTGAGATTTCTCTAGGCATTGCAAAAATACTTGGTAGTTCAGCTTCTAGCAGAGCTTTTCATGGTTTCTATGATGTGATTATAAAACATACACAGTTTGGCTTTTAATCAATAACTCCTTTGCTGCTATAACCTTAGGAATCACCATGGATCAGTGTGCAGGTAATGGTTCTTGCTGATAATCAATGCGAAATTAGATGAAAATATACTGAGTGTATCTTTCTGCTTCTTTGCACAAATCTTTATGATGAGAATAGGCTTGGTCTTCATTATTCTCAAGGCTGTGTATCAACTCTTCAGCCTCACAGTGGTTGAGCAATGACGTGTGCAACAGCAGGCTGAAACCATCTCCCGTCTTCCGCAAGGTGATCTATGCCAGTGCGACACGGTTCCTGAAGAGTAGATTCGAGTCTTGCATTTAGACAAGCTGTCCAAAGATGGTGAGCACAGAATCAAGAACAGTGACATCCAGAATGCCTCTGTGTAAATCAAAGTTCTCTCAGAACCTGTCATTGCAGAACAAACCTAGATAGATTGCAACAGGCAGTTATCACAAGTTGTTCTGAAGGCATGAGTTGCGTGTGTTTCTGAGTAGTGGCAGTTTAAACATCGAGCAGTTCTGTTCTTGTTCTATTCCCTTTTTGTCAATCAGAGCCCATTTACAATGTGTTGAACCAAGTTCATGAAGAATCTTAAAACTGTCCATCAGTTGACATTGCTCTGCAGTATTCTATGCATTTTGATGACGCTTTGTTTATGTTTCTTACAGGACATTCAGTCTCAAGAAAGCTGCGATTGAGAGAGAATATGCACAGGTAAGTTGCATCAGAAAACTGTTACTGCCAAGAATTAGCAACTTGTATGCCACCATTTCTTTTTCTGCAGTCCAAGTCTCCCCCCTTGCCGAAATGTCACAGTGACTCTGCCAACTAGACATTCCCCAGTAGGACTAGAAATGGTGCCTCTGGATTTAATAGAAGGGTGGGAGACCCTTCAAGCGTCCCCGTTAAGGGCTGCCTGACTGTGTTTGTGCCTCATTGGCTCTTGAGATTGATTCACCGCTGGCCTTGTGCTCGCCACTGGGGCTTCCCAGTACCCGTGCATAAGGGCTGGAGTGCCAGAATCCAAGCCTGCTACTCAGCTTTTAGTGCGTTACATATACTACCTCATTCCTCAGTGCTGACCGCGTGGGCTAGCCTGGTGCTACGGAGAGACAGAGGAGGGTTCAGGCATCTGAGGTGTGTGTATGTGGTCTGAAATAGACAGATGTGTTTCAGGCATTTCCTATGGGGAGCCACTGGGTGCCTTTGACAAATGCGCAGAGTGTGAGCATCAGTTCTCCAACTTAAATATTGACCAGCTCCATGGGATAAATTAAAACAATGGATTGGATGAGGATTGCTGTATCCATTGTACGTTGCATGAGTTCAACCAGTCTGACAACACAACCTCAAAATCAACAGCACGTGATGGGTTGTTAATGGAACAGCCCAAGGTGTGCCCAACAGGCAATCGATCAGGCGGTGCTCTCCTCCTCCTCAGTCCTGCAGCCAGTATATGAGGGTCCCTTGTGGCACAACCCGTCTTGCTTCCACCATCCCCACTCTGATCACAACCCCCTTTTTGCCACATTTTTTCAATGTTTCCAAAAAGGGCTGTTGGGATTTTTTTTCCCCAGTGCCTGAAAAGGGCACACATACCTTGGTTTTGTGTTGGTCAGTCTTTTGCAGTTGTGTGAGTGGGCTGGTCAGATACATGCAACCTTGCCTAGTCAATCCCCTTGTAATTTTCAGCTAACGGATGGTAAAAGATTGAGGAAGTGTTGCATTCTCAGCATTGCATGTTGTGTATATTTCCCAGTCTGTTTGCACATGTTTTGACAATTCTGTTGTTTAACTTTCCAGGGACAGAGTTCCCATCTTGTGCAAACCCAGTCATGGCATCCTATACAAATGATTAAGAATACCATCAGTCTTATTGTCTAACAGTACTAAGCTGCTGCATAGGTACACAAATTTAGCTTAACTACTGAGCCACACATATGTATGCAGGTATCTCTGTCTTATGGACATGCTGATCGCCGGTTCTTCAGTGGATCTGGAGACTAGAAACAAAACATTTTCAGCTTCCCACTCTGCAGTCTGTTTGCTGTTTCACCACTGCACATACCCTGTGTGGTGGTGGTAAGAGTGTTGGCCAGAGGCCTAGCCGATCTGGGTTCTAGTCCCCACTTGACCATGAAATTCCCTGGGTGCCTTTGGGCCAGTCATTCCCTCTTAGCCTCACCCACCTCACAGGGTTGTTACTGCGAGGATACCATGGAGCTGTGTACACCTCTCTGGGTTCCTTGCAAGAGGAAGAAAGCTGGGATATAAATGCAGTGTGATGAGGATGATGATGGCCAGTGTTCTCTCAGATATGTTGCATTTCCCCCCTTTACTTCCCCACTCCCTTTGCTGCCTTCCAGTTTGATCATCTGCCTCCAGCTTGCTTTGGTTGTTTTCTTGGCAAGAGTAGGAGAAGATCTCTAAAAGTTGGAGGACAAATGTAAATCTTCAAGAAAATCGAGTGACATTCTGAAGGTCACAAACATGGAGGAACAGACTAAATACAGCACTGACACCTTTTGTTTGAACCACAAGCCAAGAAGCAAGCGAGTGAGCTCTTAAACAGGAATATCAAACATTTTCTTGCTCTTTTAAAGATGAGATATGCTGCTGTCTTTGAATTCTCTAGTACTGTGCTAACTGCATCCTGCTAAAAGCAAATACAAAATTATAGCTGACTCCTATAAATAAGAAAACACTGAATTCAAAAGCAGCATCATTTGACAGGACATAACCTCTAACCTCCCGTGTCAAAAAACAAGGAGATCATCATAGTCTGAGCAGTAGGGCTGAATGAAAGAGAGAAGAATAAACATTGAACAGGGTAGGTCCATTTTCTGGACAAAAGTGCTCTTGCAGCTGGACTCCCCTTCTTTAGCACAGTTGGTCGGCTTATTAAATACATCCTGATTACAATAATGTAAATCCAGTATAGACGAGAGTAACTTTTGTACTGGCCGTTCAATGATGTTCCCAATTTTGTGAGCAAGATTTTGTAATAAACTCCACCAGACATTTACTGGGCAGAATCATTTGAGCAGTGCTATTTTTCTTAGTCTCAGGAATATAAGAGGTACAGTAAACGTCTTGAAACCTGCTTCCCTCACTGTAGGGTTAGAAGTAGGGCTTTCAGGCATGCAGACATTCAGAAAGTGTTGACAGCTAAGGAAAACAGAGGGAATGTTTAAGTTAAATCTGCTGTAAATGATTATTCAGTCTATATGGTTCCAAATGTACAGTAGCTGACTTGTTTAGTTTCAGGCAGATAAAAGGCCTTCTATCAGCCAGCTCCAGTCGTACCCTCCCAAGGAAAGAAAAAGGGGGAGAGCGGAAATGTGAGGGTGGCCAAGTCAGCTCAGGAAAGCAGTCCATGCCAGCTGCCAAATAATAAAAAGAGAGGCTACTGATCTGGCCAATTCTTGCGACCCGCAGAGATGGAGGACCAAAGACAGAGAGCGTGCCTGGCTGGCTATCCCGACAACTGCGCTGCTGCATCTGGCATTGTCATAGTTATCTTAAGCAGTCCTGTGTCGGATTTCCCTGCCTTGCCTTATCTCTGTTAGCAGGGTTGGGAATCCTTTCTCAGTTTGCTACTAGGGGTGGTGCAGAGAGCATGCAGCAGCCACCAGATGAGAAACATAATTTTAGAGGAAAACACCCCACATTTAAGCTAAGCCTTGCTTTATGGGTCTTTCAGTGAGAGCAATGGAGGGCGACTTTATCAAACAAATTCAAGATGAGGCTAGCACAGCCCACCATGTCTTGCTAGTTCAGCTGAACTTGCATTTCCCAGTTTGGGGTTGCTCTGTTCTTAAGAGTGTGTCACATACTGTATATTTGGGGCTCAGTGTAGAGGAATGAGGAGACAGGAGCATCCTGAGGGCAGGAAGTGGGAGAGAGGACTGTGCCGGTTTCTTCTCGCTCGGCATCCTCTGGCACCACCTCCCACAGCAAGCGCTTGGGGTGGATGTCCTGTGATGCACCTCTTTGCGGAGTGTGGGGTCACAAGGGGTTGCAGGAGTTAACCACTGCCTACTCCATTTCTTTAGTGGGACAGAGTTAGGGTTAGATTTTCCCGAATCATGCTGATCATCTGAATCATGCCAATCAACATATCTGTTTATTTATTAAAAGCTTTTATATCCCATCCTTCACTGAAAGTCAATATCTTTACTCGTTGGAAAAACTCTGTCCTCTGCTAGTGTGCTAAATTCCTCCTGCTTGGTATCCTCTTCTGCAGTATATTCTGAGATTTCATTAGGGATTGTTAATACTGCCAAACTTCCTCTGCAGAACTAGGAGCTTTTTTTTTCCTTTAAAAAAAAGAAAAGAAAAGAAACAGTCAGGATTGTCCCGCATCCAGGTTTGTGTATCTGGTACCATAGACACATTTGAATGGAATGAGAGAATGGAAAAGGTGCTAGGGGTGCACCTATATAAATTATCTTATAAATGTATAAATCTATAAATTTAAAAGATAAATAGTAAGGTGGGTATGGGCAGTTGTGCTTAACAGGCATCTTGAGCAACAACAGGGTATCCTAATCTGGAGGAATTCCCTATTATCTGGTGGTCACTTGCGAGTGGATGGCAGGCAGGCATTGTGATGGGGAAATAGCTGTGTGTGTGTGTGTGTGTTTAGTGCCTGGGTGGTACGGGGTGCCATGTCTCCCACTCGGTTGGGTAGAGTCACCTGTTAAGGGTCTTGCAACAGGAAGGTAGTGCCTTGGAACACCAGGACTGGGTGAATTGCATGTTGTTTCGTAAGAGGATACACAATATGCGGCTCGTTGCGTTATCTCACTTTTTACTTTGCAAAACACTCACTGAACGGCTAGCAGGGCATTAAAAAGGGAAGCATGCATAGGTTGGTCTTATGAATGACTGGCTGAAGAGATGGGCACGCAGCCAGTTTGCAAGAGAGTCACCCTCCCGCCTGGTCCTTTCATAGGTAGTTGCCAGAAGCCGTGGTGGGAATTGTGCCATCAGAACTCTCCACTCACTGGCTCTGTCTCTGTAGCTTTCCAGGTGGGAACGTTAGTAATGTGTGAACACGCCATAAGGGTGTTCAGGGAGCTGGTTCCAACCTCATTTTGTGGCTTGCATGTAATTCACTGATCCAAGCAAGCAGCAGCAAATAGAATCAGAATTATATTGCAATCTTTCCACAAGGTCATGCAAGATAGAAGGTTTACGCAGCAGGAAATACAGGTGTTCAGAGAAGAGAAGCGGAATGGGCCCTCAGACCGGTGCCTGCATGTCACAGGATGCTAATTAGATGTCTGGCATGGGGAAGGCAGCCCCTGTTCTGTGCTTATTTTGCTGTCGATCCTTGATCTTCCCTGAGCAAGTAGCTGGCGTTTCGTGCATGTGAAACTCTGTGCGTGTGTGACAGCTGAAGCAACGCTGTGATTTATGCTTCAGTGTATCCTTGTTTTTTGCTGATCCGGAAAGAAGCTTTGTGTGTATCCAGAGACTTCCTTTTCTGAGTTGGACTGCACAATATATGACAGGTCAGGACCAGCACAGGCCACCAGGCATGTACCTTTCAGGGAGAGACTAGCATCCCCTGACTCGCCGCACTCGCGTTCAGCTTCGTGTGTCACAACAAGAGCAGGCCCGAACGAAGGGGTTCCTCTCTTCAGGGAATATATGTCTTGATCCGTAGACCTGAGGTCAGTACAGGAGACACGTGTAAACATTTGTAT